AATCAATCAATCAACCACCGAAAGAAAAAAAATGCGTTTTTTTTTTTTTTTCAATTATTCACACTCACAGCCAAACCCCCCGAACCAAATATTTGTTTTTAAAAAAAAAAATTTGTTTGAGGAGGTGGGGCTGGGGTTGCGCCTCCCCATGGCGCTCCCCTAATCCCCAACCCCCCTCCCCACAGACCGCCACGTGGCTTCAAAGTCGCACGGTCGTGCAGACACGTCCGCGGGGTCGCGGACCTGGCCGCGGCCGCGGACTTGGCCACGCTTGGCCGCCGCCGGGGGCGATTCGTATGTGGAAACCTATCACGAGGACCAGTTCATGTCTGAGATCATACGCAGACTTGAGGCGAAGGACAAGAAGACTTCTGCCGAGTTTGAGTTGGTTGACGACTTGGTGTTCCTTGAGAAGGCAGGGAATAAACGATTGTGTATCCCAAATAGAGAGTCTTTGCGTAGTTTATTTTTAGGTGAGTGTCATGATGCCACCGGCCACTTTGGTTTCAAAAAGACTGCAGCCAATCTGCTACAACGGTTCTGGTGGCCCACGATGATGAGAGATGCTAAGTTGTACGTGGAGACTTGTCAGGTCTGTCAGAGAGACAAGCCCCGTACACAGGCCCCTCTTGGCCTCCATTAGCCCCTTCCAATTCCGAAAAGGCCTGGTGAGAGCCTGTCCATGGACTTCATGGATGATGGATACGCTGGTAACCAGCAAGAGCGGAATGAGACACATCTTTGTTATCGTGGATAGGTTTAGTAAGTATGCTAGATTAATAGCCATGTCGGAGACTGTGAAGACCGAGTACGTAAGCAGGTTGTTCAAAGAGAACTGGTCAGGGATTTTGGATTGCCCAAATCCATAGTGAGCGACAGCGATGTCCGCTTCACTAGTGAATTGTGAAAGGCCGCTGCTGCGGAGCAGGGAACCCAGTTGCAAATGACTTCTGGGAATCACCCAGAGGCCAACGGCCAGGCCGAGCAACTGAATCGCATTGTACAACACTTGTTGAGGCATTACATCAAGCCCAACCAGGTGGACTGGGATGAGAAGCTTGCTCTCATCGCCAGTCTGTACAACAACGCTGTACACAGCGCCACCAGGGTGAGCCCAAACAGCTTGCTATTGACTTTTAAGCCTAGACTACCCTTAGACTTTCTCCTTCCTGAGAATCAGTCAACTGCTGCACCGGGTACCTTAGAATTTGCCTACCGGTATGAACAGAAGATGCAGCAGGTGGTAGAACAGATGCAGAAGGCACAGGCAACAATGATAGAGTCTGAGAATAGACACCGCCGACCTTCTACGTTTCAGGCTGGGGACAGAGTCTGGGTCAAGTCCTCAGAACTGGGACAGGAGTACGGGATTTCCCGCAAACTCATGCCACAGTACTTTGGGCCATGGGAAGTCTTAGATATTGTCGGGACTGATTCAGATGGGCCATCTTATGTAATCGGGATCCCTGGTCATCTCCGCACTTACCTTGTGTTTCACGCCTCCAAGCTTGCACCTTTCAAGGAAACAGATCAGTTTCCATCTCGTCGCTCAATGCTGCCCCCAACCATGGATGGAGAGGTCTACATCGATGATATTGTTGACCTCCGGGAGATGCCAGTTCCAAGACTATCAGGCAGAGGACGTCCTCCGAAACCGAAGCTGCAGTATCGAGTTCGGTTCCGACATCACACTGTCAGATGGTTCACAAGGGAGGAACTGATGCAAGCCGCTCCACAGGTAGTCGCCCACTATGAGAAGTCTTTACGGAAAGGAAAGCGCCAGATTATCAAAGACTGAACTTCTCAGAGGACTAGTGAAGTATGGAGGAGGGAATGTGAGGCTCAAGGCCTCTATAAGCCCCACTGGGCCCTATTTGCAACAGCGCCGGCCGCCCTAAGTGAAGGCAGGCCCGACAGACCCTCAGAGGCCTATTTTGGACTACTTCGCAACTGTGGAAAATTCAGGCAGTTGCGCTGCGCCATTTGGTTGGAAGCGCCCAGGCCCTGGCTTTCTTTATCAAATGCATCTGAGTCAGGCCCTGGGCGAGATTCGCAACATAGGCCCGACTCAGGATGCGGGCAGTTGGGCACAGGTAACTGTCGGCAGCCCTGGGCCAATTCGTTTGGTCTGGGCCTCAGCCTACCGGGGCCTACCGGAAGCTTCTTGGGAGAGGCCCAGCGCAGCCTGGGACAGAAGGCAGGCAGGGCAAAGGGCCTGCCTCCGCATTGGACATTCGGGTGCTTGCTGCATGCTGCGCAAGCGCTGCTGCGCTGAAGCTGGCTGGCACTCACGCGCTCACGGGCGAGCAGGAAGGAGCGGGCAGCCATAGCCGAGCTGCTCCGCTGTGAGCTGGGTGTGGTGCAGGGTGGTCCTTGGGTGCATGTGGCATCTGTGCGTTGGGGAACGAGCTTGTGAGAGAAGCGAGAGACATACCTGGTGCTGGAAGCGTGCGGCATTGGCCACTATCTGCTCATACTTCGGGAGAGCTGTTGTCGTCATCTTCAGCATTGTAGTATAGGCTAGATAGGATCTGCCATCTGTAGTCTGGGCGCCGAGTGCCAGATAGGATATCAACATTGGTTCTTCGTTGATGATGATGATGCGACTATTTCAGAATTGTCAATTATGAGCTCTTGGTGTGTTCTTATTTGGTGAAACTCGTGATGAAATTCTGCTGTTGGTTCGAGGTCATGACTATCTGGTCTTATGTGTATGATGCTGTTGGATTGCTGAAGTTCGCTATTGCTCATCTTCCTTGCATAGGGGGGATGAGTAGCTAAATTAGAAAGCCCACACTGGGCGAGGTCCCACTAGTAAACAGGATTGGAATCTGGACGTGTTTGTGGAGGGGTGCATAAAAATTGCAATTGAACTGCTTTTCTGCACCTCTTCATAAATTTAAGACATCCAGATTCATATTCTCAATCAAATCCTCTTTGCTATCTTCTTCACCGTATAAAATTTGTTGCCATATAAAAAAGACAGTTGCTCTTGACGTGTTGCCCTTTTCAAGCTCGTTTGTGCCAAACCGAAATCCCTCCCCCCCCCGGAAATCATCCCCCCCCCCCCCCCCCCCTCAACCCAACAATAAAAAAAAAGACCAGAAAAAGAGATAAAGGGACCATTAAAAAGCAAACACAGACCCGTGAAACCTCATGCTGACATTTCCCCTGCCCTAAAAAACTCATAAATGGTAAATACCCTTGGGCTCCAATTGTTGAACTTGGGATCCCTCCAGAGGAACAAAAACGGAAACATTTTCAGGAGCTGTGCTGAGGGCCCGAGAAAAGAAAAAGCGATTTTCTGGACACCACCATGTCATCATGCCCTGTGGGCCTGTGTTACTTGCGTCCTCGCTCTGCCATTTCTGGAATCTTTTTTCTCCTGAATCTCCTGAATCTCCTCTCTCTCTCTCTCTCTCTTTCTCTTTCTCTCTCTCACACACACACACACAC